CCTGTCTAATATCAATCTGTCAGGAGATAGTGACAGAATGAAAAAATATGTAAAAAATACATTTTTAGAAAAGTTACATACTGCACCTTTAAATGAACAACACAACATGGGAATCATAAAAAGAGAAACGTTACACAATAGAGAGACAACTTACTCCAGTCCATATTCAATGAGAGGGTGGTTCAGGTCAAAGTTAACACTGCGAGCCATTTTTCCTTTTCACTACTGGTCCGTCTTCACAGACTGATCACCGTCGCAGCTGTGCCTTCAGCTCCAGTCATGGTGTTCATTTACCTGGGAAAGGACCGGAAAAGAAAAAAGGAGGAGGCGCAATCAGTGTTTGAAGCACGGGGACTGGAATGTCACAATATTATATCCAATCCAAATCTCTTGACAAGTTCCTGCTTGTCTCGGACTTGTTCTGGAAACAAACACTGGAACTGAGCGGCAACAATTAGTTTTAGTTTTCAAGTACTGCAACCCATTTTTACCTTTTACATTCAACTGCATCAAAACAGTCACGTCACCACATAAAAATAATCATTTTACACTTATGTCAGCCTGCCTGGATTTCTCTGTGCTTTTAATACTCAGGGGACTTTACAAATAGCATGAGGTGACAACGACTGACGAGGTTCACTTGTCATGAGAGATTAGATCATTTTGTTCAGACTTCTGAGGGCTTCATTGTGATGGAGCTGGCAGTTGAGCGGTGAAATGAATATTTATGGGGGAAAGAATGATTCATTGTGACACCATCTGAGAGTGTCACATGCATGAATATGACAAAACATCAGAGAAAATAAATCCTGCTGCTTTTATTCCATCAACACAGCTGTCATGAAGCTGCGCATCAGTGAAGAATTTAGGATTCACGAAAGTTCAGTCCAGATGTGCATTAATGACCAATAAAACCAAGTTATAAAGTAAACCTCATTATCCTTGGATAACACAAAACTCTAAATTACTGATGAATATTCAGATCTGTTTTTTATGTGCAACTATGAGATTGCTATATTATACATACGTAAATATACATTA